TCCACTCAGCTATCCCCATTTCATATCTTAGGGTCCCTCTCTGTCCAAAACAGTGCCTTAATTTACACAAAAGAGACTTAAAAATTGTATATTCAACTTTCATTATAATTATGCAAGCTACAAAATTAAAATTTGGGTCTAATTCTCATCAGGAGCATACCTGTGATTACAGAAATAAGAAACTTTTTTGTTTGTTTTGTTAATCCTTACCTGATGAAATTTTTCCATTGAGTTTTAGACAGGGTGCAAGAGGCAGGGAGAGACACACAGAGAGAAACATCAGTGTGAGAGAGACACATCAATTGGTTGCCTCCCACATGTGCCCCAACCCTGACTGGGGTGGGGCCTGACCCTGCCACCAAAGTATATGCCCTTGACCAGAATCAAACCCGGGACCTTTCCACTGAGCCAAACTTGCTAGGGCAGAAACTTTTTAAAGGGCCACTTCAGAAGCTCTGTAACTTTCTTATCATGACTTGAAAGTTAAAACCTCTAAATAAGCCATTTTCTTCTGTAGCTTCTTCATTAGAGTCAGAAGCAGCCAGTCCACAATCCTTGTTGTCATTATTACCACCATAATGTTTGAGTCAAATCATCATTTGTTCTCATTAGGCACTTGTTTCAAAGGCATGTGATCTTAATCCTATATAATAAGGAAGTAATATGCAAATTGACCATCACTCCAACACACAAGATGGCCACCCCCATGTGGTCAAAGATGGTTGTCCCCATGTGGACACAAGATGGCTACCACAAAATGGCTGGCAGGGGAGGGCAGTTAGGGTAAGGTGATCAGATCGACCTGCTTTTGGCAGGACAGTCCTGATTTCTAACAATTTTTCCCGCGTCCTGCGGCATTTTAACAAAGTCCCGATATTTGGAAAGAATCTTTCCAATCTTTCAAAAAATCGGGACATTTAGGCGGAGGAATGCAGGAAAAATGGTTAGAAATCAGGACTGTCCTGTCAAAAGTGGGTCGATCTGGTTACCTCAAGTTAGGGGTGACTGGGCCAGCAGAGGAGGGCAGGTGGGGGCAACCAGGCCTGCAGGGGAGGGCAGTTGGGGGGGACCAGGCCTGCAGGGATGGCAGTTGGGGGAAACCAGGCCTGCAGGGGAGGGCATTTGGGGTCGACCAGGCCTTCAGGGGAGGACAGTTAGGAGCAACCAGGCCAGCAGAGGAGGGCAGTTGGGGGTGACCAGGCTGGCAGGGGAGCAGTTAGGCGTCAATTGGACTGGCAAGGGAGTGGTTAGGGGGTGATCAGGCTGGCAGGCAGAAGTAGTTAGGGGCAATCAGGCAGGCGAGTGGTTGGGAGCCAGCATTCCTGGATTGTAAGAGGGATGTCCCAGATTGAAGAGGGTGCAGGCTGGGCTGAGGGACAGACACCCCCTCCCCATGCATGAATTTCATGCAATGGGCCTCTAGTTAACTATAAGTGATAATTTAATCAGTTATCGTGCCTGTCATGGTATTCCACTTTCCATTGGCAGGGTGTTCAGCAATGCATTGAAGGTCAAGGACACAATCAAGCCAATTCCTGAATCCTATGTTTCCTGGGACACCTCCATTAGCAAGAAAGAGAAACCACACTAGGGTATTTCAACAGAAGGATTTTTAATGAAGTATTGGTTAAATAGGTATACAAGACTAAAAGAGCAATAAAAGTTAAATTGAAGTATAACCTGAATATAATAAGTGCTTCAGGAAGTTACCATCTTGGAAAGAAGGGATTAACAGAATTTTGAAGCACAGAGGGAATCCTTGGCTCCCAGGATTTGATCTCTGCAGTGCATACTGCCCAGCTACTATTGGTATCTCTGAAGAGATGCCAAGAAGTTGGTTATAAGAGTGCTGAAAAAAAGCTGGAGACGAAGCGGAGGGGTAAACAGATTGAAATACATGCATTAGGAAGAAAGAAGTTGTTCCTCCACTCTTCCTACTTACTAATCTTTACTAGTATTTAGTGTTCCTTATTGGCAGAATCCGTCAGGAAACAATATGCCAAAGGAAATAAAGGGTGGGGCAAAAGTAGGTTTACAGTTATTTGTATGGAAAATAATACAATAGTTAAGAAATAATAGTACAAGAATAAACTGTGTTTTGCATACTCACCACTGTAAACCTACTTTTTCTCCACCCAATATATAATTTTGCAGAATCCTATCTCCAGCATCACCTATAGAAAGGTGAATTTGGAGTTAAGAAACAAGTCATTGACAGCCTACTTACTAACTTTAGCTGTTTTCTTAATTTCTGAGAAGTTGTGACAAAATTTAGAGATATGAAGTATCATAACTGCATAGATTTTAGTTATATATAGGAGCTCATTTTGGATTCCAATAGTGACATTCTTTCTTGCTTTGGAAATTTTCTCTGTTCCCATATCTTCCTTCCAAGTTTACATTCCTTGAATCTAACAACTGGGAGAAAAGATAGATTTTTGTCTGTGGAACAATGATTACTATAGTATCTGAATCTGATGAGGTCCAAGCTAGTCACTTTCAGACTTTTGGACTATGACCTACCATGAGGAGTACTTGGAATCTAAAATATACATGTGTAAATATGTATCAGAATAAAAAGTTTTATGAAACAATATTTGGTGCTAAGTGATACATCCTTGTAATTTCTATTCCATCGTATCGTATCGTATCGTATCGTACCGTACCGTACCGTACCGTACCGTACCGTACCGTACCGTACCCTATCCTATCCTATCCTATCCTACCCTACCCTACCCTACCCTACCCTATCCTATCCTATCCTATCCTATCCTATCCTATCCTATCCTATCCTACCCTACCCTATCCTACCCTATCCTATCCTGTTATATTCTTTAATAGACATTATCACCATTCATTAAATCAGTTATGTAATCTAGAATTTGGTAAACACTGATTAAAGCACTATTGTGAATTAAATATTTTCTTCTGCTTAATTGTATGAACAGTACCTAACTTGGCATGTTTTGGTCATTCTTTTGGTTGTTCCTATTCTGGTATCCAGCTTATTGCTTTTCCTTAAATTCTGGGTGAGAAGAAAAATGTTTTAGAGTGAGCTTGTAGTTCTGGTTGTGATAATAATGTTCCAATGGAAACAATACATATGTTCCCTTGTGACAGTATATATAATAGTAAATGAAGTCAGAGAAAAACCGAATTCTTTGTTATTCCTCATTAGTTTGTCAAATATTTGAGTACCTTCTATATATAAAATCTTGAGCACAGGGCAAAGGATACAACACTAATGTCAGCTTCACCTTTGTGGAGCTTACATTCTAGTGGGGATTTTTTAAAAATATTTATTTTATTGATTTTTTACAGAGAGTAAGAGAGAGTCATTGATCAGCTGCCTCTTGTACACCCCCTACTGGGGATGTGCCCTCAACCAAGGTACATGCCCTTGACCGGAATCGAACCTGGGACCTTTCAGTCCATAGGCTGATGCTCTTTCCACTGAGCCAAACCGGTTTCGGCTCTAGCGGGAATTTAAATGTCAAATGATTAATTATACAACTAAATACATAGTTTTTGATAGTGGTTAGGAATTTGAACTAGTCTGAGATAGTAAAATATGTTCTTAATTGATAAACATTCAACGTGTGATATGAAGGATAAATACAATTAGCTAGAAAAATTATGGAATTTGGGGATGAGAAGGAAAGAATAGTCTGTTTATGCCAATGAAACACAATCAAGGTTAGACAGAAGAAATGAAAGGGTGTTAGTAGCTAGTAGTGTAGAGAGATGGAGATAGTATATCACAAGATGAGATAGGTTCAGATCATACAGGACCTTGTATGTCACTTTAATTATTTAGTGAAGAGCAGAGGGAGTGTTGAAGAAAATAATATGAAGAGATTTTCTGTCTTTAAAGTCTAGTGGTGATATGGAGTGAAAAGCAGGGGAGATTAGGACAGTTTTATATTAATTAATATAAAAAGTGATTGTGACTTAGAGTAGGGTGGCAGCTTCAGAGGGGAAGGATGGATGACTGATCTAAAAGATATTTAAGAGGTAACATTGAAAGGACTATTTAGATGTGGGAGTTGAGAGAGAAGAAGGGGTCAAAGATAATGTCAGAGGTTTCTGGCTTGGGGAGCCGATATGAGGAATATTGGAGAAGTATCATTAATGAGTTACAACTTTGGATAATACTGAGTTTGAGACCTTACTAGGTACCAGGCATTGTACTAAGTTTTTCATGCACATTATCTGATTTAATCCTTACAAATATAAGGATTTTCTTAGAACCAGGATTTTATTTTTTAAGAAGGGAAATACTGGAACATATTTAAATGTGTTTTTTTGTTTTTTTTTGTTTTTGTTTTTTAAGAAGAATCTAAGGTAAGGAGATGTTGAAGATACTGGAAAGGAAGGGATAATAATCCATAATATAAAGCTAATGAGAAGATCGTTTCAGATTTTGCATAGATAGAACGATGTCTTTATTTTATAAGAAGAAAGAGTATGCATATGTGGGCTAGTTTATGGATGTGATATAAAAAAGCTAAGGGAATTTGCTCTTGATGGCATCTGTTTTCTCTGCACAGTAGGAAAAATATACATTTTATGACTAATGAGTCAGATGGAAAGAATGGAAGGTTAAGGAAGGTGAAGTTTTAAAATAGTTTTTGTGAAAAGTAGAGTTAACCAATCAAATAATGATTCATTGTTTGAGTGTGAGTAAAGATACTGTTCTTAATTCACAGAGTTTAAAATAATGTTTTACCAACATCATAACAATATAAGGCAAAAATCTAAATTTAAATGCTATATATGATATTGCTGTTAGACATAGAAAAACAAGGATGGGACAGATAATAATGTGGTCTATAGTTATTTGGAAAGATTTTGTGGAGAAAGTAGAACTTAAGGTTAGGTGTGGATGTATAGGTAGGTAAATTTGATAGGAAGAATAGAAAACGTATGGAACAGGTTCTTAGTGGTAATCCATAATGATTTGGTTGGTGTTAATCCCTTTTTAAATGTTAATATTTCAGTGACTATGGAAGTGAAACTATATCAGGACCTGCATTTGATCCAGCAAGTCACCCAGCTCCAGCTCCTGCTCCCTCTTCCTCTTCGGCATTTCGACCTGTACTGCCAATTAGGCAAATTGTAGAAAGACAACCTCGGATGCTGGACTTCAGGGTTGAATACAGAGACAGAAATGTTGATGTGGTACTTGAAGACAGCTGTACTGTTGGTAAGGTTTCCCTGTCACAAAGCCTTCATAAATTAATAGTTCATTAGGTAAATATTCAGTTTATGCTTTTTTTTTTTTTTTTTTTTTTTTTAGTTTACTGCCAACAAGGAAAAAAAAAAAGAATGGAATGGGATGGGAAAGAATGGTATATGATGCTGTTTTAGCACAAATGCAAATCAAACATCTAGGGGCTTAAATGCCATAGTTGTTAGGTACATTGCATATAGGACTTTATAGCTGAAGTTCACTTTTTATACTATGAGAGAAGTATTAAGACATGTTTTATCACTCCTCTCTGCCAACTGGATAAATACTTCAGTACTATTCTTTCAAAGGAAAATTGAAGTGTAGGCCTGCCATTTGTAGAGAAGCTATATTGAACTCATATTTAGTTTAGATTTTTGAACCATATTCATTGTAGAACCAGGAATTATATTAATTTCTATTTTAACATAGTTTTACCATAAATCTAAATACCACGTATTTCTGAAAATTTGTCTTTTTTCCTTTTTTGAGGAGATTTTTTCCTAATTTTATTAATTTATTACAGAGAAAAGCAAGGCTGTTAAAAATATTATCATTCCTAAACATGAATCAGATTGTTATCCTTTACTTACAGCCATTTAGAAACTTTCCATTGTTTTTAAAAATTCAAATTTTTTAACATGGCTATAAGTCCCTGCTACATTTATAGTTTTTATCTATTATCACTCTCCTTATAGCTCACTAGGTCTAAGTTGTAATGGACTTACTCAGGTTTTTTTTTTAATAGGCTCAGCACCTATGTACTTGTTTCTTCTTCTGCCTAGATTCCTCTCTTATTTCAGCTATTTCTCCCTGTGTCCCCAAGTATTCTCCTGTATTTTCCGTTAAAAAATTGTGGTTAAAAAAAACTACGTAACATGAGATCTATGTTCTTAACAAAATTTTAAGTATCCAGGATAGTTTTGTGAACTATATACACATTGTTGTACAGCAGATCTATAGAACTTTTTCATCTTACATAACTGAAACATATCCACTGAACAACTTTCCATTTTCCCCATTGGATACCCTCTGACAGTGATCATTCTCCTTTCTGTTTCTCTAAGTTTAATTACTTTAAATGCCTCATATAAATGAAGTCATACATTATTTGTCCTTCTGTGTCTGGCTTATTTCACTTAGTATGATATCCTCAAGGTTTATCTGTATTGTAGTATATTATGGGATTTCCTCCTTTTATATGTATATGTACATTTTCTTTATTCATTCATCTGTTGATGGACAGGTTGTTTCCACCTCTTGGCTATTGTGAATAATTCTGTAGTGAACATGTAATTGCAGATATCTTTTAAGACCCTTCTTTCCATTATTTTGGATAAATTCCTAGAAGTGGAATTGCTGGATCATGTTAGTTCAATTTTTAATTTTTTAAAGAAGTTCTGTACTCTTTTTCCATAGTAGGTGCTTCATTTTGCATCCCCACCAATAGTGCTCAGGGATTCCAACTTTTCATCCTTGCAAACACTGCTCTTTTTTAGTTTTTAGTTTTTAAGTGTTATTGTTTTGTTTTTAAATATAATGGCCATCTTATGAGGTAGAAGATGATATCTCATTTTGGTTTTGGTTTTCATTTTCATGGTAATTGGTAATGTTGAGTATTTTTTCACATACCTGTTGGTCATTTTTATATCTTCTTTGGAGAAATGTCTCTTCAGGTCCCTTGCCCATTTTTAAATCGGGTTGTTTATCTTTTTTGCTATTGAACTGTAGGACTTCTTTATATATTTTGGATATGAACTCCTGTAACATACATGGCTTGCAAATTTTTCTCCTGTTCTGAATGTTGCCTTTTCACTTTGTTGATTGTTTCCTTTGCTTTACAGAAGATTTTTGGCAGTCTCACTTAGTATGATATCTTTATTGTCTGTGCTTCTGGTATCATATCCAATAAATCATTTCCAAGATCAATGCTATGGAGTTTTTTTTCTAGGAATTTTATAGTTTCAGATCTTACTTTTAAGTCTTTAATCCATTTTGAGTTAATTTTTGTGTATAGTGTAAAGGTCCAACTTTAATCTTTTGCATGTAGATACCCAGTTTTCCCTGCATGATTTATTAAAAGAGACTATATTTTCCCCATTGTGTAGACTTGTCTGTATTTTACATAATTTCCCTATAGTGATCTTTCTAGAGTATAAATATTCTTATATATCTTTCAGTGATTTTTCCTATTTCCTATATTCTATTTCACTTGTCCTTTCCATCTTTGATTATCTCATGTAAATTTTTCTCGTATGGAGCCTTTCTTGACTTACATAGACGTAGTTAAGTTGATTTGTTTCCTATGATTTCATAAAAAGTAATAGAGACTTTTAAAATGGATTTTAAAGTATCTTATTCTTTCTTTATGTTTCAGGTTTCTCTTGTTAAAGACATGTCTTATTCTCCTATAAATTCTCTCTCTAAGCACAGTGTTTGGCACCAAGAAATATCTGTTGAGAAATTAAATGGCTCAATAAATGAGTATATGTATATATTTAGATGTACATTAATTCATCTGCCATAGAAAATTTAAAAAATATACTCATTACAGTTTTTGTGACCTGTAATATAATTGTTAATTTTTAGATATAGTTCCAATTACCCTTAATTAAAGAACTGGATAAATACCATTTTTTTTGTATATGTATTAGTGTAAAAATGCAAAAAGATGCTCTAAAGAAAATGCAGTTTTCCATGTTATTGGAAAGATTTGGAAAAGACCAAGTATAAAAGCAAGCCAAGAACTTTATATCAGAGTGACACCTAGTGGCAAATGTATTGGTCTGTTAATGTTTTTAGTGTTCTGTTTGTTGCTGCAGTTTCATTTTATTATAAATATCCTTCTATTTTTTTTTAAATTATGAATAAATTTAAAATTTTTTTAAATTATTGGTTTTTCTATGAAATTATTGTCTTGTGTGAAGTATTAGGTCTAGTAATAATTAATGTCGTTTTCTAATACTTTTTAAAATCGAATTTATTTAAACAATACAACAAAATTTAATCAACAGTATAGTTGGCGTTGTTTTCTACTACTTGTGCCCAACGCTCAGGAAGCATTTTAATCCCTCTGTTGTAAAATTCTTGTGATTTTGATGCAAAAAATTCGGTCAATGCATTTTTGAGGCATTCTTCATTATTAAATTTTTTTCCAAGAAGAAAGTTTTGCAAAGAACGAAACAAATGGTAATCGGAAGGGGCAATATCAGGAGAATATGCAGGTTGAGGGAGAACTTCCCATTCCAACTGGCGCAGTTTTTCAGCAGTGATTCTTGCAGTATGCGGTCGTGCGTTATCGTGGTGAAGAATTACGCCCTTCCGATTAATCAGCGCGGGTTCTTTTTCTCTTAAAGCTTGGGCTAACCTTTCCAATTGGGCACTATACACTGCACTTGTAATGGTTTGGTTAGATGGTAAAAGTTCATAATGAAGAATTCCTTTAAAATTTCACCAAACACACAACATCACTTTTTTCGCATGCAAGTCAGGTTTTGGCGTGGGCTGCGGAGCCTCATTTTTGTCTAACCATTGAGGCCGCCTTTTCAAATTAACATACAGCACCCATTCTTCATCTCTGGTAACAATTTGCTCTAAAAATGGCAAACGGTTTTGACGAGAGAGGAGCGAACTGCAAATTGTGACTCTTTGATTACGGTTGTTGTCGGTCAACTCATGAGGAACCCATTTTCCAAACTTTTGGACTTTGCCAAGTGCACGCAATTGATTGGAAATTGTTTTTTGTGAACAATTTAAAGTTGTCGCAAGCTCTTGTTGGGTAATTTGAGGATTTTGCACCAAAAGAGCTTGAAGAGCTTCTTGATCAAAATTGGACACACGGCCTCGACCATTCTTGTCATCTAACGAAAAACTTCCCTCGCGAAATTTCTCAAACCAACGCTGGCATTTTCTGGCGCTAACTGCATCTTGACCAAGAGCACTACAGATGTTTTTTGCAGCCTCACTTGCTTTTCTTCCTAATTGGAACTCGTAAAGCATGCAGTGCCGAATATGCTCTTCATCCGCCATCTTCTTAGCCCTAGTTTTGCAACAAAAACCAAACCAAAACTAACTTTTTCAAGCAAAACTTGTTAATTGTACTTCACACGTTCTGTAGATACCCTGTGTTTGAAGGTTATGTCAGTACAAGTCAACGCCAAGCAAGATTTTAAACGAATGTTTAAAAACGACATTAATTATTACTAGACCTGATAGTATGATATTTAGGGTAGGAATTGTTGTGTATTATAACTATAAGATCTAGAAGTGGATTGGATTTAACCTAACAAACAAGTATTTGTCCAATAAAGTTAATCGAATCAGTGCTGTCAGCAAACCTACTTTGGCTGGGTTTACTCCGCATAACCTTAGTTCCATTTCTGGAATATAGTAGAAAAATAGGTCTACTATATTAGTTGAACCAATTTGCCTTATTTTTTTGTTCTTTTTTTTTTAATTTCTGAAAACCAGCTTTATTATATTGGATACATTTTAGTTTAAAAGAATCATATTGAGTTGTGGAAATAATTAAGACATTTAATTTAGCAAGTGCTTTTTAAACTTGAAAAAATAGTTCAGGATATTTCAAATGAATTTTTGTCTTGAATTTGTAAACTTAGTTTCTGGTTTTGACTCTGTAATTTTTGGCACATGCCTTAAACCTTCTTTACCTTAGCAATTCTTTGAGTAGTAAGCACTATATAAGAGGTTGGTTTTTGTTATCAGTACATGTGAAAAGATGGAAAGAGCAGCAATCTTATCTGCCTTGTACAGATGTTGGGAGTATGAAAAGACAATCATAGCTTGTATTTTTAGGGAGAAAAGACAGCAAATATTGTGCATTAGTAACATTATTATTTGGTCCATTTACAAGTGTCTTTTACCTCTATGCCAACAATTATGTACTCCCCAGATTATATTTAAAATCATTAAAAAATCTAAATAAGCAGCACCTCAAACTGTGGTCTTAATGGGTA